ACTTGAATTAATATTTATAATGTGCGGTCGAAATTGGACAAACTGCGATTGCGATTGGGTTAAGGGGCTTACGTAAAGTTGCGTTCCTTGACACCGATGGTGGTACACTTTCTTTTCGTATAATCTCTCAATAATTGTAACTTATCGATGTGAATTCAGTATAATTGAAAATTTTATTGATTTAAATAGGGTAATTAGCAGAAAACATTTACACATTTCACTTTTATTGTGCAAAACGTTCGTACCTTTTAATTTTTGACTTTTTTACCCTTAATTTCACATTTTATTGTGCAAAACAACCTTTTGATCCATTTTCATCCAAATCCTCAATTAAGTAAACGTGCCAACACTACTCTTGTCCAAAGGGAAGGTCTTTCTCGTCTTCCCACAATTTTCCCCTTTTCCCCTCCTCGCCAAAATTGAAATCTTAATTGTACCATACCTTCTGAGCTTGGCAAGTGTAGAAACTTAAAAGTTTTACTTCTTTCTTTCAATTCTCTTTTAGGGGATTTGCCCGAAGAGCTGTCGGAGTAGCCATTGATGACGTTTTCTGCCGAAAAGAACCAGCTTTTAGGTCCATTGCCTTTTTGGCTTGACAAATGGAACCAGGTTGATTCTATATTGCTTCCGAACAATCAATTTTCGGAGCGAATACCAGTTGAGATTGGCAATTGTTTTCTGTTGAGTCACATAAGTTTGGGCAGCATTTTGTCGACTAGTGAGATTCATAAAGATCTCTGCAATGCTATTTCACTTACAGAGATTGAGCTTGACCATAATTTTCTCACTATGAATATTGATGATACTTTTCCGAAATGTAACAATTTGACACAGTTTGTTTTGTTTCATAATCAGATGGTTAGTTCTATACTTAATTATCTTTATGTGCTTCCTTTGGTGGTTCTTTGACGTGATTTCACAGACGATGTGGAGAGGAGAAGGGAAAAATTGTGTGAAGATGAGAATACCCTTCCCATTGGACAAGAGTAGTGTTCACGTGTTCACTTAATGGAGTATTTGAATGAAAATGACGTTTTGCTCAATAAAAGATGGAATTAAAGGTGAAAATTGTTGGAGTGTTGAATCTAAAATTGATAGCATGAAAATAAAACAAAAAGAAGAAAACGACAAAGCAAAAGAAAGGAGGGAAACTTAGTTACAGCCACCTGCATTTCTGTTTCAATTAGCTCAA